ATGGGCTATTTATCAAAAGATATCAATTATATTTTTTTCTACTCTTTTTAGATAAAATAATTTTGCAGTAATTGACAAAAATTTACTATTTATCAAAAGATATCAATTATATTTTTTTCTACTCTTTTTAGATAAAATAATTTTGCAGTAATTGACAACAATTTAGAATGACATACATCACGAGCAGAGTATTGCATATAGATCTATGTTGATTTATTGTTATATACTTTGTATATAACATAGGCCTTTGTGTATTTATCATCAAAAGCCTATAGTCAGTGATGTCAATGATGGAAATTCAAATTCCACATTCATAGAAGTCAGCAGTCTTAGATCCTAGATCTGGATAACTCATAAAAGTAAAATTATATAAAACAAATACAGTTTACAAAATTCTATGACTGTCCAAAATTTTCAGAAAGTGTAAATCCTGTTTATATTGAGTTTTTCATTACTTACCCACTCCTGAAGCACCACCTTTTCTAGCTTTATAGGGTGCAAATGATGGATCTTTGGCTGAGGATGCTGTTATCTGACAATCTTTTATTTCCCCACTCTCCATCCCAAGAGGATCATAGCATTCTAAATGAATGAAAAAAAAGAGCTTAGCCGAAGTACAAAGTTACAAAACTGACCACCAATGAAATAAATAAAAAGAAGTAAGTTATAGGTCAAACCACTAAGGAGTTAATATATATATTTGTAACATATACAATTCTGGATACAACGTTTCAGGCAATGCCCTTCTTCAGGTATCACTAACTGAACTAACAGAACAGTAAATCCATAAACTAAAACATTCTAAATCAAATGTCATGTGCAATAAACACACACACACACACACACACTTATAAATAAGTTTAAAGTACATGAAACGTTTTTTCTTCTCCAAATTACTGTGCTTAATAAACATTTAAATCTATATGTTGCTGAAGCATATACAAAAATATTATGCTTGCATAAGTATGAAACACAAAGACCTACTGCCAGAGAAACAATCCATAATATACAATCTTTCGTATTATTACTTTAAAAACATCATCCCCACCTTCACTGTTTACTTCATAAGCAACATGATTCATTATACTACAACTCAGTAACGTATCGGGTGTGTCAGGGTTTGCAACAGGAGTGGCTCTATAAGTAGGTTTACACAGAAGACGATAAGGCGTAGTTGCATTTATTTCCCCTTTCCCAAATCCTCGTTTGTTTTCAGGATCTGCTATCAATGTGAAGTTCAGCATTACTTCATCAGAGAACACAAGAAACGGGAACTGTTTTGAAAAAAATAGACAATCACAAATGAAGCACTTGAGTTTTATTACTTGAAACTTCTGTGCACAGAATAAAGAGATGATTACTATTATAATACAGGGTACACAATAAACATCAAGAATTGAAAATATTTCCTAAAATAAAATGGAATAATATAATTTTACTAACTTATAGATATATATACAATACAGTAACTAATATAATTACATTATATAAAAAATTAACACATTTAATCATTTTTATTACAATGATGGCATTCTTAGTTTTCCCTCAATCCAATTAAAAATAAAAATATGCAATAGAAATGTTAAAAGGTAGTGCTATCTGCCAATATAGAGGGGAAAAGTCATCAATGAAATAATATATAGCATAAGTGGTCCAGCTTTTTTAAACAGCCCGACTGGTAAGCATGCATAAATTAAATAATTTGAAAGAATGCTGTTAAACCAATTATGTGTAGGCCTCTCAAACTTTATTATGTGAAAAACAAGCATAAGGTTTTAATCTACAGTATCATGCATAACACTGGTGAACATATTATTTATTAGCCTCTTAACCTTCATAATATCAAATACAAGCATAAAATTGTCATCTAATGCACCATGCATGTCTCACAAATACTGTTATTTCTCCATGTCAGCTGTAAATCTAATTATTTCATCTATACACTTCTGTTATCTAAATGCATGCTTCAAGCATAATTATTCATAAGAGTTTATTACTCTTAGAAGCATCAAATATCCAAATAGTAAGTTATTCTTAGTTATTCATATTCTGTTGAAATTTGTGAAGAAACTATTATGCATACAGGAGCTGCTGAGAAAAAGGTCTATGAAATATATGTAGAATAATCAACAAAAATATCTATCCTTCTATGGTGGGGAAAAAAAAACTTCATTTGAGATTTATACTATTTTATCGTGAAACTTACAATAATGTCAAGGCCTCCAGAGTCATTCTTAAAGTCTGGGATTTGATTCTGGGAAATGTTCACATAGGTCATTTCATAAAATGATATATAGGGTGGCAAGTACAGGCGGAGAGTAACGGAAGATGGTTCTGCTCGTGAGAGATTGGTGTGAGCTATTGACATACTGATTGGAATGATGTCACTGCAATAAAGGTCCATGGAATGATTAGAAAGGTTTAAAGAAGAATTAAATAACTATTCCAAACACATCCAATGAGCTTTCACTTCATTACACTTTTTATTCCCCAGCTATTATCACCCAACTATACCTTTATTATATGAAACTATTTACTAACAGAAACATACACTGGAAGATAAAAAAAATGACTAATGCAAGTAAGGTTTGCTTGTTTGAAGTTACCCACAAAGCTACAAAATAGGCTATCTGTGTTCTGCCCAGTTATCGAAACCCGGTTTCTAGCATTGTAAGTCTGCAGACATACTGCTGTGCTACTGGGGGTCTGCAAGTAAGGATGAAAAAATCTACAATACTTAGATGTCACCACACAGAATAATTGATTTGATTTCAATTTCACAACATAATTAAATTATTGATAGGCTTCAATTATTTCAAGGTTTTGTTGGACAATGTTTCATTTAGCTCACTTGAACTGTAAGTGGTTAGTTTATATAGATGTGCGGTATTCTCAGGTCTGCCGATAACATTAGAAACGATAGTAGTAACTGCAACAACAAGCCAATTCAGCAAATAATGTTAGGAGTTAAAAATTAAATTTTCTACCTGACTGAATTAAGAAGACTGTACTTAGTTTTACAATGATGGGAAATAATTCTTCATTGAAAACAAAAAAGACACAACAAAATTCAGAGCATCTTAGTGTGAGTGCTATCCATGTTACTTTAGGCCATTCCATTATAAAAAATAAGAGAATGTATGTTTTCAACGTATCCTCTGATCTGCCACTGGAAAAGGTCAGTGTACCAGTGAATACACACATCCTTACAGCAAGTATTCCTATGAAAATGCACACATGACATCAAATGAGAATGACCCAGAGCAACAGGTAACTAGAGTAAAGACAGTTTAGCCTAGTTTAAAAAAAAAAACTGTCTTCTACTTAAATTGTATGAACCCAAAAATTGTATATATGTAAAGAATTTTGAAATTTCTCAGTAAATAGAAAATGTTTGGCTATCTATACTAGAAAGGAAAAGAAAGACCTTGAAAACTACAGCTGCTTGACTGTTGATAAACAAATGACCTAATATAACTAGTTAAATGTAATTTCTTCTACTTGTTCTAATATTTTCTGATGCACCCAAATAATCTAAATCTAGTTTAAACTTTCAGCAGTATTATTGGTTACAGTAATGTTTAAAATAAATGGGAATATTATTGCAAATTTTTCTTTTACACTTATAAAAACTAGTTTGTATTGTTAACTAAGTATACAAATTTATGACTAACTAAAATTTCCCAAGCCAACCAAACTCTGTGAGACGTGATTAGGTTTACATTAGAAAACATTGTTAACAGCAAGGGTACATAACTGATGATTCAATGCATTGAATACTTCTAGACAGTTTCTTATATAGATCTGGCTTCATTAACTTACAAGTTACAACCTGTACAATTAGGTTAATTTTGATCAGAAGTTACTGATAATCAGCTTATACTCGGAATAACTTTTTCAGAAAGAAACAGCCATACCCTCTTTGGTAAATTTTAGAATTGTCAACTATTACTGATGTCTCAATGTCAGCCACTTCTGTCCCATCTCGTACAACTTCAATAGGCTGTTCAATAAGCAAAAAGGCAGCCCCAGCCTCTACACCAAGGGATACTGAGTGTTGAGATGCATGTTCTGCTAATGGGTGATCAGCCATTTCAATCTCTACTTCAACAGTGATATCATCATCTCCTTCTTGAGATATGTTCAAGCTGTGAGTGAAAGCTGCATACAAAACACATTATCACTGTGATAATTCATATAGTAATCAAAAATGGATATTTATATTACCCTCCTTACTCAGTAATTATTATGTAAGGAAAAGAACAGAATTTCCATATTTAAACACAGTCTTCAACAAGAGCAACAGTGACACTTACCAACATTGGAAAAATATCCTAGGTGAACTTTAATTGTGTCTGTCTGTGTTGTGTTTACACGAGTGGACTTCATGATATCAGGTTCAACTTTTGGAAAGGGACACGGAATGTTTATTCCACCCGATACCAGTCTTAGATCATGAACTGTGATAATTGCCCTGTCATCTGCAATAGCCCCTGTGGCTTCCACTGACACTTTAATCAATGACTCTGGTGGTATAGTGATGTTAAACTGTACCCATGTTCTGTTTCTCACAGCAAGTGGAATGGCTGTATCATTGATTCGTTTCAAGGTTGCATTTTCCTACCAGAAGTAAGAATTCTAGGTTTTAAAGATAAGTGAATGTTTCCTCAGTAAAATAAAAATATTAATTTCAAAACAACTGGACACAAGACTAGGATGTGCTTTGGACATTATAGTTTCATACAGACGAAAATTTTGAATAAAGAACTGTACAAATGAGTCTGAGAAAAAACTCAATCATTATAACATATTCTTATGGAATAAAGACACTATTAATTCATATTATCGAAGATGCAGACCACATTAAATAATGGGAAGATGAACAAGCTGTTAATCAACCATTTGTTTTAAGATTTTACACAAAAATGTCTTGAAGAACAACTTAATGCATACATAAACTTATTTTTAATTTATTTCTTAAAAAGTACACGAAAATAATGACTATGATAAACAGTTATACAGCTACCAAAGGCAGCAACAACAGGGATCCTCATCTTTTGTTTTTTTTGTCTGTTTTCAGTTGTTCTGTTTATAGTCACTATCATTCTAAAACTGATGGGATAAGGAAATAGAAGGCTTAATCTATTATGAAAAAATAAGCATTCAGGAGTTAAAGTTTCATCTTATGTTTGACTTTTTTTATTCCTCTGAGGTGTCAAAACACCCTATATCGGTAAGGCATATTTTTCCTACATTCCCTCTTTTATACTAATTAATTTATATTTCCTAATAATAAAAACATCTTATAAACTAAACAAACTAACAATATATTGTGATTTTTGATAGTCCATTCATTCTGCTGAGTTAAAGTGATGTTACAATCACTACTTGAACATATAAAATCTGTTTTAAACAAAAAGGCAAACCAATTACAGGTTAAGAGACATGCAAAAAACGCAAGAGTGTTGAAGACTAAACTCTAACTTCTACAGAAACAAGCTGATCCACAAAGAAACTTTATGAGTTCTAACAGAAACAATTATCATAATGTAAATAAAAGTACATACATCTTTAAGTACACTGATCAACTTGTTTTACCATTTTTAACCTTTTACATATATCATGCTGTGGTTGTAAACCTGAGACTCCAAAAATATAGCATTAACTTTTCAAGAATCTTTGAGAACAAGTTTTCTTTTGCTTTTAGTAAGTCATTTTTGGAGTAAGTAAATTACAAAATAAGAGTGAACTTCAGAACTAAGTAAATCTATGAGATTCTACAGAAATAATATATAATGTTGCAATTCAACCAAAAACTTTATAAAACTCACAGAAGTATATATTTCTTGAAACACAGCAGATGCTGTTAAATTTACAATTGAAACCAAAATACTCCTATTCCCCACGTTGGCAATGGCTGAAATGCTAAATTCTTCACCATCCAAAAGTGAGCCATCATCAACAGGTTTAACAGCTACACTTAACTGGACCTGAAAAAGTAAACAGAAGAAAATGAAAACTCAAATAAACATGAGCTAATGTTTTTCATTATAGAAATGACAATATTTAAAGCTGTAGAAAAAATACTGAATATTTATTACTTATTATCTTATATGAAGATTTTGTGCAAAAAAAATATATCTTTTTCCTGGACAAAAACAGATTACTTTTTAAAATTGCAGAATTATTTCACACACCAAACTTAGCAGATGTTACAGAAGACTTGATGTTGAGAGATATATATAATCAGAAATAATAAACTCGAATATACCAACGAGCAATATATTCAGTGAAATGGTTTTCATGCATTCACTATTTTCTCCCTTTTCTTAAATTATCTCCACAACCAAAGATCCACAGACTGGTGCTGGTCAGTCACAACCATCATGCATGTCCATGGGATTTCACAAGAACAAAGAAAAAAAAACTTGACAGCATATTCACATGTAAATCATAATGTTTTTTGTTTTACCTTGACAGTTTATGAAGTCCCTAGTATCAAAAAGATTGAGTAACAATGCAAACTATGAAATTTAGAAAGGAAATGGTTAACATTATCTACACTAAGCAATTAGACTCAAAACAAAATAAACTTTTAAGCTATGGTATAAATATGTTCATGTACAGTTGGTACAACTTAAAAAGTTTTCAAATTATGTAAAACATACAATATGATAAACCAGAGACTTAATAAAAGAAACATTCCAGAAATTTCCTGTTGGCAAACAGCACTGGAAACCATGCTGCTAGACAACTTTTTTATATTGTAAAAATAAATTGAGCTGATATTTATTAATATTGAGATGTATGCATTTCTTTGGGTGTTATATATATATACACAGTAAGGAACATATATTTGCATATATTCACACACACACACACACACACACATATATATATATATATCAACATTTACATGTCAAACTGTTTTACAATCAAAAATAGAGCATCAGAGACAGATGGTGTAATAAGTTAAACTTAAGATATGGAACATACTTTTAGTCACTAGTTGTTGGATATGCAAGACTGTACTCTGTTGTATTGAAACAACACAGTAGAGGAGAATAATTTATCTTGTGTTCTAAAGTAATTGAACCCACCTCTGTGGGCTTTGATGAAAAAGAGACAATTATTTAAAGCTTTGGACACAACTTGATAACCTATAGTGTAAAGAATTTTTTTGCACATAAGTTTGACTTGTTTTGAATACATTATTTTAAAATAAGTCGATTGTGTTCTGTCTGTTTATTGTTGAAATTTCTTGCCAACAAGTCACAGTCACCTACTGTAAAGAATCCTAGCCACATAAAACCTGACACTAGTCTTACTAATATTTTGAAGTTAAATTTGTAACTGATCTAAGAGATTTGTAACACAATTAAATAATTAACTTTTAGATGATTTGCATTTTTTTTTTTATAAGAAACTGTTTCAATCTACAGGGCAAGTTTGAAAATAGAGCTGTTTAGATGTAGAAGATGAACATTATGATATGTCCACCAGATGAATTCGATGAAAAGGGATGTATTCCCCAGAATACTGTATTATTGTTTAAAACATGAAAAACAGCACTAACATGCTTAAACTTTCTTAATGAGTCATTATAAATGTGATAAGTTTGACTTAATATACGTGGTAATTCATTATCTGATTTCTAATGAATTTTTCCACTTTTTTGACACATATATCTATCAACTCAGAAATAATACATTATGATTGCTTTGAAAAAGAAAAGTACAAAAATGTAGACAACTAAATTCTTACTTTGTTTTCTTCTTCATTTTCTTTATCAATAAGCGTATGGCACACTATTCCTAAATCAAAGATCCCAGTATCTTCTTGGATTGTAGCACCAGGATTGCTGTAAGACCCCCATAACAAAAAATTACATTTTTCTTTACTCTCACTTTTTCTTTCTATATATCTATACATTCCTTGTGATCTTCAGAAGCATCATAAATAATTATTACAAAGTACATTAACCCTAGATATAATACACCTTGCCTTCATTAAGCTACACTTTTATAACCATGTTCACAACATCCGTGGTCAATCTTTCATATAAAGTAGCAAGTAACAACTATTTGTGGTAAACAATAATGTTATACTCATTTTATATTACATTAAGCTATCTGTTGTCAATGCCATAGGAAGGGGTAAGGCCAGTCAGGCCATGGCCTGATCACTTTTTCATGGCATTTATAGCTACAACTTATATATTAAATCTTGCTTCTTTTAATTCAATATATTACATTGTGTGTATGCACTATTTGTAGTTAAAATGGCTCAAGATTCAATCTCATAGCATTAAAATTTCAAAAATGTTCTGAGGAGGCATGCCCCCAGACTCCCCTAAAATTGCAATGGCCCGACCACTCCAAAACTGCTTCCTGCAGCAATGGTTAAATACGTGAATTATTTTTTTCACACCTGTTTGTACATAAATTAGAAGCACCTTTCTATTTTCTGATGGAAGTCAATCGAACGGCTAATATGACTAAAAACACAATCTTAGAGGTAAGCATACAAACATATTATCAGTATGTGGTGATTCAGTTCAATATACAGACTTTAATCAGAAAAAATAATGAAATATATGAAGTACATTGTTATCTTGATCCTTGTATGATTTTAAGAAGTGACCAAAGTGAAAACTTTGTAGTAGGCACAAGATACCACTTTGTAGTAATTTATATCATTATTTTCAATTTTACTTGCAATTTAGGTATATATGTATGAAGCTATGTCCACTTGATTTTTGAACTACTGTAGTTTTTGACAAAAGGACTTAACATTTTGCTTGAAATCTATAAATCTTCCCACACTCTAAAAAACCACAATATAATCAAATAAAAACAGAATTGTAAGAGGTCCCTCAAAAAATGAGGGACCAAGTGGGTTTTGGGAGTCTCAAATTTGACTGAACCAATTTACATGAGAACTGGTATTAATAACATAAGTAGCCATTTGAAACAATAATCTAAATCCATAGTTTCAAATTCCCAGTTGACTTCTATACAGAAATCAAAAGAATTTTTGGAGATTCTCAGGAGTGGATCCATGGATTTACATAAAAACTTGCATGTATATGTAAGGGATCATTCAAAATATGTGTTAACATTTAGATTTTCATAGTTTTCACAATGAGACCCCCAAATTAGGGTGTCAGGGAGTTTGGGGAAACACTCATGGATTTACGTGAAAATTCAGATGAACATGTAAATGATCATTCGAAACAAAAATTTAATTTAGATCTTGGATTTTTTGTAAATTTGTGCCCCATCCTATCTGGATCAAAATGTTTTGGAAGCTCTCAGAATTGGCTGCAAGGGTTGACATGAATAATTGACAATAACATGGAAATGGTAAGTTAACCCCTTCTATGATTTGCCTGAGATAACTTGGATATTCTCCATGTTTCAGAAAATATTTGCCAAAGTTAAATCACATGCTATCATGTATTACAATCAGTGCTCTCTAGATGGCATTGGAAATGCTGTTTGCTGATCTTTATTAGATTTATGCTGTATTATGAACATAAACACTGGAGAAAAGCATTCCTATTCTTTACTGTAGTTTCATTGAAATAATATATATCACCTTTGGGTCTTATTTTAAGTTTATTACACTTTATATGTGATCCTTTGTGCTAACTCTTTCATCAAAAAAACCTATAAATCCATATATGTAACATATATTTATTGAGTATATTTTGCGCAGAAGTATAACAATAGATCATAAAATAACTTTTTTTCATTATTATATAAGTATAGGCTATCCAAAAAAAACCCTGACATGGAATGGGTTAAAACAAGTTGTGCAAAATTGTGTTTGTTTTCTATTATGTTCCATGGGTAATTTGCTACTTATTATTGACCTACACAAAACCTCTCTATACAAAACCATTTAAGGAGAACATAATATTTACTAAAGGATCTATGTACTTGACATTGAAAACAACAGACAATTAACACAGCAATAATAGTTGCTTTGAAACGAAAATAAATAAACTTTCTCATCATGCATTCAGTGAAATTAAATTAAACTACAAGAAACCTGTAATATTATCAAAGTGATGAAAATCAGTCATTTATTCACAGTAACTTATCCCACATTAGATTTATACCCAAGAGTGATACTGGATGCTAACTAAACAGATCAAAGGCAATATTTGTATCATTTCACATTGAAAGTTTTTACAAAGACCTACCTAATAGAGATGTTAGAGGTCAACTGTACAGGTGAAAAGCACGGATAGTTCTTGCCACGCTTGGTAATCCCAGCAACACAGATATCATAGGGATATTTTCCAGAATCAGCATCAGGGTTTAGCACATTCACAATTACAGGTGCAATCGCATTTGGCTGAAGTTCAAACTCCACGTTGACAACAAAAGGTGCTCCTAGCCCTGCACCTGTCATGTTTGGATTTTTGAGGCTGAACTCAAGGGATTTTGGAGAAAGGACATGCTACAAAGAATAAACAAACACAAACACATTTATATATATATATAAACACACACATACAGATGTGTGTGTGCATGTGTTTACTTTTGACTAATACAACACTTCTAACTGTTTAACAATCACTGTTGTAACAGGACACTATCTATATGTATTATAATCAAATTTCTGTCTAGCACACACTGTATCTCCTGAAAAGCTAATCGTAGAAAAAACTAAATATATATATATATATATAAATGCTTCTTTTCAAGAGTACATTACAGGAAAATTATTCATTCTTTGCAATTCCAAAAATTTTATATCAGTATCAACATCAGTTTGTCGGTCTTCATATATGCTGAAAGGTCAGTCTGAGAAAAAATATTATTAGGAACAAAAATGTTTCTTTTTGTGAGTGAACTTCACACAAAATAAGAGTAAACACATTTAAATGACCAAAGGATGTCCTCCCATTGACAACAAAAGATTGGAACCACTGAACCACATCACAGTAGTAGAAGCTGTAGTAAGTTAACAAGGAGGACAAGAGCACCAATTTCAATTCATTATATTACAAAATTCAGTAGTTTCAGTGATAATAAATGCTCTAAGTAGTTGCTAAGGGTGAACTTACTAACAATTCTTTCACAGAATGATGTTATTCATGTGTTTAATTTTCACAAAATAATTTTCCTAAACTCCAAAACAACAAATAGAGTAAGTCACAATCTTACACACTCTTCCAGAAAGAATATTGGTAACAGTAGCAACTTCTTACTAGGCCTACTCAATTCATTGTGATGTATTACTGTTTAACATGTAAATGTTCACTCCTTGGAAAATAAATAAGATATATATATAAATATATGCAGAGAATATTTAAAAATAACAAATTCTATTATTTTTAAACTAAACATTACTTATTTACATTAAGTTTTATATAATTATATAAACTAATTAGAAAAAGATTTTAGTATTTGCAACAAAATCTCATGAAATATTTTGTAAGATCAAATAATAAAGAAACAGTATATTGCCAAAATGTAAAATAGTTTAGATTTAACTGGTTTATAGTATTTTGCTAAAAAATAAGGAACAAACAATGAGTGTTATAATGAACAGCCACCAGAAATCAGTGAAATAATGAGACATCCTACACATGTTTTATATTGTAAAAATATTTGGTTAAGTATTAAATAAATTTTATCTGCAAAAAATAAATAAATATTAGAATATTAATTGTTGTATTTTGATAACATTTTACCCAATATTTTCAAAATACTAGTTAATTCAAAGAATGTTTTTTTTTACATATTTTCCTTATTGTGGTCTCACCTAAGAGAGGGTTAAATACACTAACAAACTACTCACAATGTCAGAAGGAGATAAGGCTCCACCCACCATCACTGGAATGGTTAGTGTGCCAGACTGAGAAGAAGCCCCGTATGTCACAATCCATGTCATGTTTTTGTCTGCAGTAGCTGCTGGGCTTACCCGGATAAAAGCTGTTATAACAACTGTATTATCATCAGGTTCTGCAGTTTCAGTTGAATTGATTGAACCTGCAATTTAAAACAAAAACAGAGTTTTGATTCAATCCTGGAATACCAAATAGTGTTAATTCAATAAAGTATTTCAACTTTTGAACAACAAAAGTTGATTTTCAATGGTTTTAATACACACCTACAGAAAAATAATAGTTTAATCAACATCTTTAACAAGGAAAATACTAGTATTTTCTTAACTTACTATAAAATTATAGCAGTGGTTCAAAAACATGAAAATAAGGTACATTCAAAGTACAAATATAATAATTTTCTTTCTTTCTTGATTCAAAATATTATACTCATATATATATATATATATATATGATATATATATATATATATATATCATATAT